CCCCAGGCACGATTTGGAAAAATGATCCGCAAACAGGTTGATGTCGCCGGTGGTTGGTGGTGGTTCGTAATTAGCCACGAACCATCACGAACCGCCGCGGGGAGGTGGCGGGGGCCGTGGGAAGGGGACGGGTGGGTGGCCGAGGAGCCCAAAGACAGGGGGGTCAGTGGGCCACACACACAAACCCAGGCACGATCTGGAAAAATGATCCACAAACAGGTTGATGTCACCGGTGATTGGTGGTGGTTTGTAATTAGCCACGAACCATCACGAACCGCCAGTTTCCCCCGTTCATGCTCCTCTCTAGTCTAATGCATGTTTTTGTGCGACCGCCAAGCGCTCCTGGAGCAGAGGTCTGGTTTGAGTGGCTGGTCCCACGGCCGGCAGCCTCCAGGAAATGAGAAGCAGCCCCCCTGCCCCCCCCCGCAAAACCGGGCACCCACACCCGGATGGCCTGGCTTGTGCGCCAAGCTTTCTTCTAGCGCTGTGGCTCCGACAGGTGGGAACAGAGCCCACCTCTACCTTGCCCACCTCCACTTTCAGGTCTCCTGCAGTGGACCCCTGCCCTTCTCTGGCTTAACCAGGGCCACCAGGGAAGGAGAGGCATTTTAAATGTATTTCCTCAGGTGATGTTAACCTTGGCAATGGGAACAGTCATTCTGGCACCCTTGAAAGGGAGATGGGAGAACTTCAAGAGGCTGCGTCCGTCTGTATCCATCCGGAATCCAAGGCAAACGTATCTGTGCCAGCAGCCCATAACAGCCCGCCTCTTGGCTGCACAACCAGCCTTCCGGCCCCTGAGCACTAAAAGTGTCCGCCCCACCCCACGTACCTTCTCAGGGCTGTAAGCTCCCGGCCCCGGTTTCACGGTGTTGTCCCCAGGGGGCATGTTGCGGGCAAGCATGCTGAAATGCGGGGGGCGGGTCTTGTAGATGCTGGGATCCACCACGCGGTAGTTGCAGGGCCCTGGCGTCTGTGGCACCGGAAGATGAAACGGGCATGGTGATCGAGGCGTCCCCAAGAGGCCACAACATCCCCCCACCCCCACCCCTCGGCTCCTATTTCGGGGTCCCTCTCTGTCCTCTTTTCTCCTAAACTCTATGAGCCCTCAGAAGGTCAGGGCTGGAGGCAGCGAGAAAAGTCCCCCTGCTCTTCCTTGGGTTCAGCTGAGAACGGGTCGCACGGATGCGACCGTGGCTTTTGTTCTGCTTCATTTCACGTCCTTCCAGTAACTTTTTCCTGCAAGGATGTGCCTCTGGCCGGCCACTGAAATAAGCTTCTCCAGAGGTGGACAGGCGAGAGCCAAGTAAGATCCTTTGCAACACCATTTGCCGGCAAACTGACTAAACACAGCAAAATGGGAGCTTCCCAGCCAAACCAGGAGCCTTTGCAAGACCTAAGTTTCATGGTGGGTGAAAGAGGATAAGCTATGCTAAACCTGAGCTGCTAAACAGCTCTGACCTACCGTTTTACAAACTGATCTTTTCGCACCTTACCACCTTCCTCAGCCAACTATTATTTATTACTTTATTTACAACAGTTTTAGCATGCTATTCTCCTTAAAAAGGACTCAAGGCAGCTTACAACAGTTAAAAGGTAGTATTTAAGTTAGTAACCATGCGAAAAAGATCAATGAATAGAATGGACAAAAAAATATATGCAACACCAAAATACAGTCATTGCAGTAAGGCTCAACAATCCATTTTGAAAACTCCACTCGGCAGCCATTTGCCCAGGGAAATTCTGCCCGAAGAGAAAGGTCTTCTTGGCCTGCTTGCAGAAGGACAGCCGACGTGAGGTCAGCCTGGCCTCCAGTGGGAGGGAGTTCCAGAGTCTAAAGGAGCAGCCACCAAGGAGTCCCTCTCCTGTGCTCCCATCAGATGCACCTGTGAGGGTGGAGGGACCGAGAGAAAGGCCCCTCCTGAATGATAATCTTAACACTCTGGCAATCTCATAAGGGAAGACATGGTCCTTCAGATAGCTTGGACCCAAGCCGAGACATGGTCCTTCAGATAGCTTTGACCCAAGCCGTTTAGGGCTTTATAGGTTAAAACCATCACTAAATTGTGCCTGGAAACAGACTGGCACCCAGCAGACATAACCCCTTGCTGTAACAAGGGTTTTTCTTTGTGTGTGATCCCTCTGTTCCAGCCCCCAGCGATCCATCTGGCTGCTACATTTTGAACCCACTGATGCTTCCTGACACTTCCCAGGGGCAGCCCCACATAGAGTGCGTTACAGTAGTCCAGCCGGTCTATAACTCAGGGATGTCTCACCCTGGGCAGATCAGACCTCTCCGGGAATGGGCAAAGCTGGCACATGGGTTTCTCGACCTTGCCAGCCCAGTGGAAACATTATAGAGACTATGGGGTGTAGCTCACCGATGGGTGGATCACAGTGAGATCACGCAAAAGCAGCTATTACGTTTTTCGCTAAACAGATCTTTTGCAGGAAAGGAAAAAAGATGGAAGAAGGAGTGGAAAACAAAATAATGGAGGTCTGGAAAAGGAACTTGTAAACAGGCAGGGCTTTCGCATAACAAAAACCCGAATCTAGAAACTGGTGTGTTTCAAGCCTCTATCCTCCTTGAACCCAGAGCTTTCCTTCCAGGATATAGACCAAATCAAGGCGCTCATCATTCTGCTTTCCTCTTATGACCTTCTCAGGGGGAATCCTCAGTCTCCTGTTCACCACCACCACCAGCCCGGCTGTCAAAGCTTGGCTTGGCAGTCCCGAGTCCTCACCTTGCTGAGGTCCTCGTAAAAGCTGCCGACGTTGCTGCGCCCAAAAATGGAGTAAGTGGGCGCCGAGGGCTTGCCGATCACCTTCGGGCCCATCATGGGAGGGAGACCGTAGGCGGCGGGCCCTGAAGAGAGGGGAAAGAGAGGGAGGGGAGAGATTCAGTGGAGATGGAGTTGCACCGCTCTGCGGCTGTGTCCCCTACCCCACCTCTGCAGCTCCAGATGGGGAGACGAAACTCAGGGTGGGCCAACCCTCCAGAGGAGGGTTTTTACGGGTGAGGCCATCTGCCTAGTTAGATGGGTTTCACCCGGATTCTGGGCTCTCTCCGATTCCCCTTGAGCTCTGGAGGTCCCATAGTCATCTGGCCCAGCAGCAGTTCCAGATGCGGATGACCCGGAAACCCTGAGGACCTCAGATCTTCCAAAGCAATGCCAGTCGACAAAACAAATAAAATAAAACGGGAGGCAAATTCCAGCCGCCTCGGAAACAGCTGCGCACACCTGCCTCGTGGCACGAAGCAGATCGAAAGGAAAAGGCACCAAGGTGGGGATTTCAACCAAGATTTGGGTGGAAGATGTTTTGCAAAGAGCATAACCAGACACAACAGAGCTAAAAGGTGAGCCTCCTGGAGGAAATTTGCACGACATGCAACCAAAGGGAGAACTTTACTAATGCCCAAAGAATCTTGGTCACAGCATAGAAGCCACACTTGCATGGCATAAGAGCCTTTGGGGGAATTAATCTCTTGCTTTACCCTCACAATGGAGGGCAAACATTTGCTACCTTCTCTCCCTCGCCAACAAGCACCACATGGGTTTTTTTAATATTCTCCTAACAGCAGGAAGAAAGGTGTTTTATGCAAAGGGCCTCTGGGCAAAATGGCATCTTTTTTTTTCAAACATGGTGCAATTCTGCAAATGATTAAGAAAAGTCCCGTTTTGTCTCCTGGGCATTTAAAACTCTGAAGGAGTGGGACAACGGGATGTTCGAATCTTTGTTGATGCCCAGTTGTTCCTCCCGGGCCTTCCGGGAGGCGTTGCCTCTCAAAGGGAAAGGACTTCTGTGTGGACGGGACCTGAGCCACGTGGAAGAGAGATCCTCGTCTCACTCTCACGCTGGAGGTGAGTTTTCTTGGAGACTTTTTAACTTCTGCATCCAGGTGTCTCACCAAATCGAGACAGCCATAAAATCCATTGCTGGGACTGAGAAATTCAATGAATGTTCTTCACCTCTCATGTCCCTCCTCCTCCTCCTCCTCTCTCACCTGGCGACTGGTCATTCAGAAAGTCCTTTGTCCGTGAAGCGAGAGAATAGTTGGGGGCAGAAGGGAAGGCCAACCTGCCAGCTTTCTCTGGGGAATAGCGGCCTGTGAAAAGAAAAGGGCAGAGAGAGAGAGAGAGAGGCTGAGCTCATCATATCATTCAGCATCAGGCCCTGGAGTCCCTTTTAAAAGCTTGAAAGAACAAACAAAACCCCCTATACAATAGAAACCCCCTTATCTGCAGGATCAGTATCCGGTAATTCACTTATCCAGGGTCTGAAACTATTAATACTACTGGAAGAAAAATCTCAGAAATGTATATTTCTGATGTTGCTGTTACTGGAGCTGGCCACTAGAGGGAGCCAAAGACCACACTATATACAGCATTTGCTATAATCTGCATTTTTGCCATTTGCGGGGGGAGGGGGGCTTGGAACCAATCGTCTGCTGAAATCCTACTGCATATATAATCCTTGTGTATACAGAGGAGAGGCATTTGTTATGCACATGAGCTTTCTGACCAATGCAAAGTTTACATTAAGGGCATGGAGCGTCAAACTTGCCGAAGCTGGCCCTCTCCAGGTCCCTGCTTGACTCCCAGGATGTCCCACTGCCCTGTCTAAAGGGTACAAAGGTTTTTATCATTTCCCAGCTTCTGAATGTAGAGTTTCCCATCCTCAAGGTTTTCAGTATCTCTCCTAAGTTTTGGGTGGAAGGAGTTTTATGCAAAAAATACCCTCATAGTCTCATCAAATCCCAGCTGTCTTTGGGGTAAATGCACAGGCCCTGACTGGGCAAAAGAGGAACATTTTCCAGTTAAGATCGTTTTTAACTTGTGTACGTTTTTAATTGTTCAAAGGCATTTTCAGCAGTTTTAGAGCTGAATTGTTTTTTTTAATGTATAATTTGTCGTGTTTTTCATTATATTCTTTTTAATACTCTGAGCCACCTTGAGTCCCCTTATCAAGAGAAAGAAGCCCTGCAAATAAGACAAATAGGATAACAGGTAAACTTGCTGTGGGGAAAACACCATGCTATTGCTCTTCTGTGTGCCAAAAACAGGATTTGGGGGTCACAATGTGGGGCTTTGGGGGTATACATTCCATGTGCTTTTTCAGTTAAAGGACTGTCTTGTGTTCCAGCATTTCAGCTCAAGAAGGTGCCGGGAATCATAAAAACGGCTCCAGGCCTCTGTTCCCGGAGCTTCTCCGTCGCCTGGATCCGAAAACTGACCTGGGCCCGGCGTCATAAAAGGCATCACGTCCCGGGGGCGCCCGTAGATGGAGAAAGCGGGATTTCCGTCCTTGCCCCTCATGGTCATGTTGGTAGGGATGAGGTAGCCGGGCCCAGGCGAACAGCTCTCTTGCTCCAGGAACCGCCGGGTGCCCAGGCTGTACGCCGGCGCTCGGAAGCGCGAGGGATCGTGGTTCTGATAGCCTGCAAGGAGGAAAGGTTGGGGAGTTGGGATCAGAGAGGAGGAGGAGGAGGAGAAGCACGTTAAGAGCTGGGGACAGCCTGGAAAGGGAGGAAGGCATGGTCTGAGGGCAAGCCAGGTGGGCTTGGCTCCAGCAAACCGGTCCGCCTCGGGTCGAGAGAAAAGAAGACACAGCTCTTGCTGTCAGTGAAAAACTTCCCAACTGTTAGAGCAGTACAACAATGGAACCACTGCTGGTGAGCGCTCCAATGCAGGAGGCCTTCAAGAGAAACGTAGTCCACCGCCTGGCAGATCTGCTTTGATTCCTGCCTTGAGCAGGGGGTTGGACTGGATAGCCTTGCAGGTCCCTTCCAACTTCACTTTTCTCTGATTCTCTGATTCTGTGGCTCTAATTCTACTAATGCAGCCTAAAATGGTATTGGCCTTTTTTGCAGCCACATCGCCCTGTTGCCTCTTCTTTGGCTTGCAATCTACAACAATTCCAAGATCCTTCCTGCTCGTAGTATGGCTGAGCCAAGTATCTCCTGTCTTTTATACGCATACCTGACTTGTAATGCACTATACACACACCTAATACACACTTTTAAAAAGTGGACCCAACAGGGTTACTTGAGGTCCATACACCAATTAGATGCCAGGATCACACCTGGCAACCCTGTTTATCCTGCTCCAGTCCAGGCATGCAGACAAGCCCTGGGTTTCATCTGTGCTCAGGGTTATGGGACGTCAGTGTTGCACAAGCCTTATAGAAAATTAATCTCTCTCTCTCTCTCTCTCTCTCGCTCTCTGTGTGTGTGTGTGTGTGTGTGAAGCATGACCACGCACCTTCCCCTGCCTCCACATTTAGTGCTTTCTAGGGTTAAGATGGAAACTGTAGAAATTCTACTCACCCACATTGGTAGGGAGGCCATATTTGGGCCCCGGGCTGCTGTAAAGGGCAGCGATGGGCCCTCTGGGCCGGTGAGGCCGCCAGGATCCCACCCACACGTCTGTGGACATGACCGGCCGATGCCAAGCGCTGTCCTCTGGCTAGCTCGGAAAGAGATCTGGAAGAGAAGAGAGAGAACCCCTTCAGCCGGGATCCGCCTCTGCTGTAGGACATGAGCCCTGGAGACCTCAACACAAGTGGGTCTATTTGAAAAGGTATATCAAGCAAACCCCAAAGGGGGGGGGGTGGAGAGGAAGAAACAACAGCAAAAGAAAAAAAACCTGGCAGCCTCTGGAAGAGTCACAATTATCTTTTAATGTGAGCTTTCTTGGAATCATTCCACTTCTTCAGACGGATAGAAAAGAAATAAAATACAGAAGACACAGTAAAACATCCGTTGGCTTCAAGAGTCTAGGGTGTGTGGCTACATTCCACGTACAGTAATTTATGACTGACGTTTGGTGTTCAGTTCTATTGTACAGATTGCCACAAGAGACATTTGAGAGAGAGAGAGAGAAAATTTAAAATGTAGAATTTGTGGCAAGCCATAAAGAATTTCTGGAGTTCAGACAGTGACCAGTGAGGAAGGACTAAAGCAATTGAATAAAGGACATGAAACCACCCACCAAAGGGTGGCCTCAAAGTCCCCCTTCCAACCCCGTTCTGCTAAGATTCTATGACACATCAAACACATAAAACGTAGAAAGCGAGAATAGCTTGGCCGCATCATAGGAAATAAGAAGCACAAGGCGTTGCATCTGGTTGTTCAAAGGAGAACAAATGAGGAGAGACGTTTATGGAGGAGAAGACCTTTTCGGCTGGAGAACGCGGGAGGCCGTCCCAGGTGGGACATGACCTCCGTCTTTAAATTAGTAAAGGTAAAGGTTCCCCTTGACATTTTTAGTCCAGTCGTGTCCGACTCTAGCCGTAGAGCCAGCTTTGGCCCCCTCCAAATTCACAGCAGCCTCATTGCGGAAAATGAAAGAAGCAAAACCAGGCCAGTTAGGTGTGGTTTTATGGACGACGATTGTTGTTTTAAATGGATGGTATTTTTTTGTTTAATTACATTTTTTAAAATTTTGGTTTGTATACAAAGTGCAATATATAGGGGGGAAATTATTTCCAAAATAAATACATAAATAAATAAATACGTAAGACCCTGTAAAGCATTTTCTGTTGCACTAGATTTTTCTGGCAAGGCCTGTTCTCCATGGCTGAGCTTCTTCTGTAAATATTTGCTCAAAAACACTTACTTACTTACTTACTTACTTACTTACTTACTTACTTACTTACTTCACTTGTATACTGCCCCTTTAATGATACCCAGAACAGACTGGCAAATGCCACTTCCCCAAAAAACAAACACAAGAACCACCAAAGTATTTTAAGATTAACATTCATTACAGGATGAATTTTTGTGTATGATCTTCCACGCCCGATACGGTATGTCTTCCTAAAGGAAGTCCCAGCCTTGAGTTCAAGAGAGCCCAGCCAGGGCTGCGGAGGAGCGGGTGACCTTTTGGAGGGCAATATTTAATTTGAGGTCTACTCAGAAGTCTCGCCTTTCCAGAAGCGATCTCCTGCCACTTGAATAAGAGGCTTCTTCCTTTCGGCCTGACTCATTCCGAATTTGCTTTGCTTTGCTTTGGCTGGCCAGTTTCCTTCCCGGTTTCTGTTGATCGCAAGTTGCCTTTACCGCTGGGGCCGTGGGACCCCCTGAAGCCAGGACAGGACCGAGAGACCATAGGTGGAAGAGGGACAGGATGTGACCCAAAACCAGCATTGTAACAAATGGATCCACATGGGCAGGAAGGCGAGACGCCTGCTCAGCTTCTGTTCCCCACGGGAGCGAAAGGCCACATCAGCTGTTTTTTTTGGGGGGGGGAACCATCACCTGGAGATGATTTCTTGCATCTTTGCCAGGAGACAAACAGCTTTGTTCCCAAAGGGAAGCTTGAGCCACTGATGATGAATCATGACTCCCAAGAAGGGAGAGCTGGCATGGGAGATGCTGTCTGGTTCCTCTCCAGAATATGCTTGGCGCACAATGAGAAAGCAGACTCAGCTGGCCAAGAGGCGCCCGGGGGCAGGATCCTGCACGCAGGCGCTCTCCTCTGGCTCTGACAGAGAGAGTTGCCATGCCAGCGGAGACAACAAGACAAGCAGCGTCCATGTACTGGGGGACCTCGTTCCATTCAAGGGTGGAAGGAGGGGAAGAGAGAAGGAAGATCTGGCACAACGCTCCTGCAGGGCTGGACTGCCCTGAGAAACAGAGCAGGTTGCCAAGGGAGGCCTCAGTCTTGCAGCGCAGTCTCTAAGCGCAGCCCACGATCGGACAGGGTTCTGGGAGATCCCTTGCCCTCCTGCAGGGAAGATGTGGGAGGGTCAAGGGCAGCGTGGTGCAGTGTGACCCCAAGGGAGCACCTCTGGGGCCTCTCCCGTCCTGCAGGGCGGAGGAATGGTGTGCAGGGCTTCAAGGGCCAAGACTCTCCAGGGAACCCAAAGGCAGGGGTCCTGGCTCCCCTGATGCTTGTTCCCCAAAACAACCCTGCGAGGGAGGTCGGCCTGCAAGAGAGAGGCTGGCCCAGCCATCACCAGGGGGAAGATTTGAACCCGTGACCCCCCTGGGCCAACAGCCCAACCTAGGCCATGTTGATGATACCCGTGCTGGTTCCTCTCCCCAGAATCAGGCCAGTGAACCGGGAGGCGCCTCTTCCCGACTTCTCTGCTTCTCTTGAGGGGAAAGACCAGACGGAAGATGTTTAAAAGGGCCCCAACCAGGATTCAAGACCAGCTCCCTCTCTCGGGCAGGATACAGCGCCTGGCCCTTGGGAGGGATAAGGGGAGCTGCTGGAGAGCTCCGTGGAGCCAGAAGTTGGGGGTTCGATTCCCCCCCGCCGCCACCGCCTCCTTGACCGGGGCTGGACGGGATGGTCCCGAGGGTCCCCTTCCAGCTCTGCCCTTCTGAGGTTATTCTCATTCCTTCCAACCTGAAAGTGCAGCTGGCAAAAAGCAGGGGCCGAAGTGGAGAGGGAAGCCAGCGGGGGCCTGGTCAGTTTCAGGTTTCAGAATTCTCCAGCCCCCCCTCCCCGCTGGCCTTGCTGGCTGGGGGATGCGGGCCTGGTCAGTTTCAGAATTCTCCAGCCCCCCCTCTCCCCGCTGGCCTTGCTGGCTGGGGGATGCTGGGGGCTGTAATCCGCAGGCTGGGGGATGCTGGGGGCTGTAATCCGCAGAGGAGCACCCTTCCCAAGCTTTGAGGCGCCTTGGAAGCCAGGAGAAGGATCGAAAACGTTCCCTTTCGGACTACAGTTCCCAGAATCCGCAAGCAGCAGCCCCCCACCCCACCCAAAAGAACT